CGTGTCCGTGTCTCTTATATGTCTCTTTGACAAAGAAAAAGAAAAAAAGAAATAAATCAAATCCTGGAAATCGCGCAAGTACAAGAGTATATCCTGTAGAAAAACATTCGAATTCGTATTTCTGTTTCATTGAAAACGTATTTTCTGTACGACGATTCTACGTATGCTGCCACCATCGTACAGTGATCTTAAGCAATTTTAGGCAAATGTAGTAAGAATTATCAAGGTAACGAAGCCTGAATAAAATTGTAGCATACCCTCGACAGTTTTTTTTTTTTTCTTCTGATACTTGGTGAAATTTATACGATACGAAGTACGGTCAAGTTAAAGAAAAAGAAAGAAAGAGATAAATTTCTCGATGCCTTTTTGTTGGACGTTAATGCTCAATTGCGTATTCTGCACAGTTAATTGAGTATTATTTTTGCATAAAGAGATACTTTTTGTGCCTGGCCTTATTTGCACGTCCGCGAAACACTCTGCCTGTACACGACATTTGCAATCCTGAAGCATTCTTACGTATGAATACAGGGACCGCCGGGGAAACGCGGTAGAAAAGGCGACAAGGGTGATAAAGGGGATCAGGGTGTACCTGGACTCGACGCTCCTTGTCCATTAGGGGACGATGGACTTCCGTTACCAGGATGCGGCTGGAGGCCACCCCAGGTATACCAATTTCTTTCACCTTCTACACATTCCGGTGTTGATTTTTATCTTCTGTCTCACATTTTCTGTTCCCCGTCTTTTTTTTTTTGGCTTAGTTACACGTTCCTAAATTAATTCGAGTACTCCACCTTGAAGGTGCGTTATTAGTCGATAATACGTCGAAGAAATGTGCACTGAAATGTAAAGGTACCGAAGTAGGAGCGATTGCGGATTATTTTTGTTTTAACGCGGAGCCACAGTGGGAAGTTTTTGAAAATTTTCTAAAATTTGAAACTTTGCTGAGATATTGTTGAAGCGACCCTGACAACGAGATCGGTTTTTATTTTGGCAACGAAACGCGATTCTAGGGGGTTGAAACATTTGCTCGAAGAAATTGTTAGCTTTTTAAAAGTGTACAAGATAGGGACAAGAAAATAGTTAGATTCAACGTTGTGCGGTTTCTAATGTCCTACGTTGTGGTAAAGAATTTTCGAAAATAAGAGCGGTGGGGGTGAATTTTGACGAAAAGTATTTTTCGAAAATTCTTTAATGTAGGACGTCGGAAATCGCGCAACTTTGAATTTAACTTTTTTCCCCATATTTTGTACAGTTTTGAGCATTCACGATTTCCTCGAGGGAGTCTTTTCACCCCTACAACCGTTTCTTTGCCGAGAATTTACGCTCGAACGACGTTTCTGTAATGTTTCAAATTTTTTTGAATTTTCGGGTTTTCCCTTGTTACCACGGTAATCGTGAAAATATCGTTGTTTATCGGAAAGTTTTACTTTTATTGAAAAGCAAGTTCTGGATAGGAACGAGAAACGTAAAGAATTTATGTGGAAGCAGAGTTGTAAAGAACTAAGTAGCTGGAACGAACGTTTGGATTCTCGTATATGCTTAGCAGGACATCACTAGCACTTCAATACCAGCTGTCGAAGGTCCTGAACCAGCAGAAACGGATTACGAGGAGCAAGAAGAGGAATACGAAGAATATACGGATCCGAACGGAAACCTAGCCGAGCAATAATGCTCATAGTGCGCTGCCCTAATCACTACCAACAACTACCACCACTACTACCAATACCATCATCACTACAACCACCAAAACCACCACCGCCATCGTCCTCATCACTCGTCTCACTTTGCTCTCCTAAACTAACGTGGTCCTGGTAATTGCAAGTCCCGTAGTTATACTAACGTTGTGTGCATGTACAATAACTAGCAACACTAAGTAACAAAAATGTTTCGAACAAAAAGATGCTTTTTACTCCTGCAACTTTATTCCTCTTCAATTTCATTACTTTACCAGCCAGATTTTATTGCGCGTTATTTATTAAACGACGTTTCCGTGTGTAGTTTGTGTGGTAACGATTTGATAAAAAGAAATTAAAATCATTTATTTTAGTTCGATATACATCATTTACATCTGCTTGAAATTTCCTTTTCCAAAACGGAAATAACAATGATGAAAGAGTATTTAAATAGTATACGCAAGTAACAAACGAGTAGAGTAGCAAAGGAAACGAATGTTGGTACTAATAGAAAATTCACTTCTAATACAACTTTCCAAGTTATACACCTGTTGCATTAATATTTTCGATATATCTCTGATGAAAGCTTCAAGATCGCTGTAACACATCAAGATGACTCTGCTCGAGATAACTATCTGCAATTAGCTGGAAGAGACGTGAATTCGTCGGAAAAGAGAAACGAATAAACGTTGAAACGTTGTGTACGAAATATGTAAAATATGTCGAATAGCAATACTACTGGCTGCCTATTTACAAAGTCACTTGCTTACATACAGGTTTGCATTGCTTGTCTGCACGATAATGTAACTTATAGTCGTAACTAGCCTATAGTTGATGTCAAATATATCGGCCGGTCACGTGGGTTCTCGCTCCGCCCCTTTGTCACACCGACCAACCCCACCAAGCGAGACCTCTACACGTATTGGTTCAACAGGTCGACGTCATAGGCGAATGGGCGTATCTATTTTTGTAACGCGACATGCTCTCTTCGCCTCGTATAGATCGCCCACGCAAAACTGAAACTTCTGGGCGGAGTTAGGGTCGGAAAGTGAGAGATGAAAGAGCAGTTACGACGTTTCGACTATATAATCAGCCAAAATAGCGATAGTGTCTGATTTATGTCGTGTTTGGGCTCATTTTCATCGGGAGAATCTCGCCAATTCATTGGTACTACTTTCGTGAAGATAGATGGAAAATATAAAATTTGAAATTTTCGCCATTGAGTGACTGATTGTAACGTCTGCGGCATCTCTTTCAAAAGCCGTATCTCTCGCTTACTCTCGTTACATCTGTTCATATGTAGTTTTATGTATGTGTCTGTGTGTGTGTGTGTGTGTGTGCGTGTGTGCTGCAGAAGGGCAGGCGTAATTTAAGAGCGAAGAGGAAAGATTGTATAGGACGATTGTTAATTGTCGAACAGTAAGAATGGAACCGAAAAGCAACGAAGAGGAAAATCACGTGACTGGCCAATACATTTGACACTAACTGTAATAATTATTCACGAGATGCATAAGAAAAGTGAATTTCTCGAATAAATAGCAACCTATACATAAAACATCAAAGCATCGTACTCTAGTAAATACTTCGAAGCAATCTTTTCATCTTTTGAACGTATAAAAAAAAAAATCCATCTGTACTTGCTTTGTATAATTTACAAATTGTTCCGACAAATATTTCCATCGGGTTAACAGTTTGGCTTGGTGTTTTCAGAGAAGAAGAAACATTCTTCATGATTGGCTAGAAGAGGAAAAGGGAAAAGGAAAAGGGCAGTGATACAAAATACGTTAAAGAAAATAGATCATATTTTCAAGGAACTAATTTTGTGCATACCTCGTCGTAAATGCACAACAATTCGCCCAGTTTAAATGTGAAAGAAAAATCGAGTTATTAAAGAAAAAGAAATATATATATTTTTTTTACATATATATATATTTTTTTTTCTTTTTTTACATATTAGCGTCCGCAAATAGTGCGTGTACATAAATATTTAGAGCTTATTAAACTGCCAATACAGGTTAGAACGACATCGCTATAATTTTACAAGCAATTTATTTATAATGAAAACATAAACGTCAATAAATTATAAGTTATACTTTATTTATCTAAGGGAAGTAAAAACCAATGATTGAATTTATCCAAATATTGTTCGCGCGCGGCAACGTAATAATATTAACGATAGCAAAAGGTCTAAGAAGGTAAATAAATAATATTGGTCTACTGGAAATATCATCACCGCCGTTATCTTGCTTTTTCGAAGCATGGCGAATAATTTTTTTTTCTTTCCGTGTACAAAGACACGAAACACACCAAAAACAAAAACAAAAAAAATGAAAAAAGAAAAAAAAATATGTGAAAGTTTCCTCACCGATAGAACAACTCTCTCTCTGAAATATTAACCGTTCAAAGACAATTGTTATAAAACATTGTTGCATTGAATATGTATTAACGTAAATTTTAATCGACGCTATTTTTCCGTGTTTATTTATTTTTATAATTATACGATTATGTATTTACAGGCTTAGATTAATTGCTAATTTTATTATACGATTACTATAATTTTAAGCATTTTAATTTTAATTACAATTACTTTGGACGACAATTCTCTCTCTGTACGTTTGCTCTGTTGCGACAATTTCCAACTGTACGTTTTACTATAGAAAAGAAAAAATTTCGAATTTTGTTTACCATTGACAAAACTAATGGAACATATGATTGTTATAACGAGGTACAATGAAAATTTAGTTTCCCAAAGTGTATCGTTTAATGTGCACAATGCATCTATATATATATATATATATATATGTATATGTATATGTATAATACATACACACACCCACATATATATATATACGTACCTGCATAATTTTGTTGCCTTCGGTACGGCCAATAAATGAAAGAAAAAAGAAAAAAGTGCAGATTTTTGCACAGTCACGAGAGATAATTTTTATACAAATATCAGTTAATAATGCATATCTCGATATAATTTTCATCTAGATTAGCAATAATATCAACTGTAAAGCAAAGGAGTAGCGTGTACACATTGTCAATACTACCAGGTATTGTAAAATAAAGTATAAGTATATCACGAGTTGGAGTTCATCCCTGCTTATACATATATATAGAAGAAAAAGGAAAATATCCTTCGGATGAAATGATTTCGTCGATTTAAACAAATGGTAGAAATTTAAATAATAATTATCGATATCTTTTTTTTTTTTATAATGTATTACTAGGTTGTTAAATTTGATATTTTTATTCTACAACGTTACAAACGACAAATTTTTCAGGTGTTAATATTGAAATACGATATTAACTAAATTCCTTTGAATGTGTAATCATATCGTTTAATTTTATTATAATTGATGTACAATGTAGAAGGAAATAACATAATCATGCGTATCAAAGCTTGGTCTTTTTAAAGTTTCATTAATTTATATTTCTTGAAATAAGATTGTACCTTATCCTTGGGATAAGGTTGTGTAGCTAAACACGTTGGAATGTTTTCAGGCTGTTCGATCCAGAGCTTATGATGGACGTCCTCTTTGATCAACGTTGAACTTAAACTGTTTAAACTGCTCTCATCTGGAACCTAATATTTATATACATATATTCATGTGTGAATATACTGTAATTTTGTCACCATACTCCTTCGCTGTTGAAAGAAAAAAAAAAAAAAAAAAAAAAAAAAAACGAACTGTATACACAAGAGTTGTGCACAACAATGCATTTCGATTTAATGTCTAATATCTATAGAAGTATTGTATTGTTTCTGGATATACTTACTTCCAGAACAACTTTGTGCATACCATCCAAATTGGCAAGGTAGGCCTGTGTGTAACTATCGTTATGAAAAAGATCAATAACAGCTACGCATGCATGACATGCTTGTGCTATAACTGCACCTACGGGCCACTCCATTGTCTTCAAAAGATCTCCTCGTACCACCACATATTGAATTAGGTCGCTCATTCTGATAAAGCAAAAACTCTTTAATTTTCTCAGCACATTAGAATATCATAGAGTATGTCGAAAATTATTCGGATCTCCGTGAATTATTAACCCTTCGACAGTTTATCCCGAGTAGATACTCTGGCAGAGCGTCAAGTATAGTTGACGGAAGCGATACAGCGAGGTCGTAAATTAAAGCATTAAACGGCGACACCGAAATTCAAATTTCTCTTTACAATCTTTCGTTTAAGATATACGGTACTTTAAGCCTTAATCGTGTCTTGGCATTCGCGTACTTTAAACGCCTGACTGATTTTACAACCTCGATACATCGCTTCCACCGACTATACCGAGCAGTTTAACCGAAGAACGACTCGGCGACGCGTTGAAACTGTTCAGTCTACCGTAGATATCGAAATTTATCGTTGCATGCATGATTGTCTTCAGTTCTCCCTGTTCGGGTTTCTGTTTTATTTTGTCTAATATCGAAAGAAAAAGAAGCGGTTTCGAATGGAGGAAAACAATCGTACAAAACCTATCGATTCACCAGTTTTGAACGATATATTTTACTCTTTGTACAAAGTTGAATTTTTATTGTTCAAAATGGATAGTGATGAATCGTCGATCATTGGTGATAGTTTTAAGAGCGATTCAAACGAGTTGTCGAATAGGGATATCTGTTCAGTTTTATCGTACAATAAAGAACCTGATCACGAGTCTGCAATTGCTAATGATTTCCATTGTAATCTCAAAAGACATAATTTTTTTTTAAAAATAGAAGTATTTCAGAACATAAAAAAATGTACATTCTTTTTGTCGCAATTCCTAATTTTACTAAACTGTCAAAGGGTTAAATTTTAATCTTCGA